TTATTCTTCTGTTGGTCTGTCCAATGTATGTGGCCGGGCATGATGCACAGGGGACTTCATATATGCCTTGGTTTTCCAGGTCAATTTTATCTTTGGGGTTTCTTAGATGGCTGCTATTTTTCTGTCTGTTTTGAAGGCAGTCTTGATGTGATGCCTGTGTAGTACCTTAATGATTTTGTCTGTAGTACCTCTTATGTAGGGCAGGACAGCAGTTCCATAGGTCTGTTCATCTTCTAGGTCTCCATTATGTCTCAGTGTGTTTTTGTGGATCAAGCCAGTGATTTTGCTTTTGTGGAAGCCGTTGGCTGTCAGTACTTTAGTCAGGGTGCATAGTTCAGTCTTTATGTGTGTCTTGTCTGCCAGGTGTTTGGTTCTGGCAATTAGTGTTTTGGCCACAGAGTTTATCTGTGCTGGGTGGTGGTGGGATTGGGCGTTGAGGTAGCGGTTGGTGTGTGTTTTCTTCTGGTATATGGTGTGTCCTAGTGTGCCATCTGTTTTTTTGTAGATTAATACATCTAGGAATGGTAGTTGTTTGTTTGTTTCCATTTCCATGGTGAATTTGATTTTGGGGTGTGTGCTGTTTAGGTGTATTAGGAAATTGTTTAGGTTTTCTTTTCCATGGGGCCAAATCACAAATGTGTCATTGATGTATCTTAACCATAGTTTGGATTTGTGGGTGGCATTGGCTAGGGCTCTGGATGCGAATTCTTCCATGAACAGGTTTGCAATGACGGGTGACAGTGGTGATCCGATAGGGGCTCCTTCAATTTGCTTGTATCTTTGTCCTTTGTATATGAAATATGTGTTGGTTAAGCAGTGTTCTGCTAGTTCCAGAGGTGTTTGGGTGGTTGGTATTTATTTTTGATGATTTTGAGAGTTTCTTTTATTGGGACTTGAGTGAATAGTGAAACCACATCGAAACTTACAAGCAGATCTTTTTGTTCCACGTGTAGATCTTTGATCATTTCCAAGATCATTTCCATTTACAAAACTCATACCACCTCTTGGAAATATTTATAATGTTTTCTTATGTTTTCGTGGGTATTTCGTATGGTATTTAGGTTTCTTCGGGTATTTTCCCATGTCTTAATATTTCTGCTTTTATTAAAGTGACATTTTGGCAGAATCTCATCTGCCATCCTCAGGCTTGTGTATTGGGTTCTTTTTAATCGTGTGCGTCAGGCTTGGCAGCCATTTTTTTAAAAAAATTGGTGCTGGCTTTCTGCTTTATTTGAATGGTTTTTTCCTCATCCTGATTGGCTGGGAGTCTAGGTCTGTTTTTATTGGTCTTCGAGTTGCTGTGTTCTTGATTAGTTGGCAACATTGTGTTTTGTGCATTGGGGTTTCTTAGTGCAGCTTGTTTTCTTGTGAATGGCCAATAATTGTTTATTAGGAAACTAGGTTTTACAGTATGAAACAATAGAAAAGAATCATTCATCATGTAATTATGAAACTTAAATAATAAAACTGATCATCTATAACTTTATGGAGTGGTTTTTGTTAGATTGTTCTTTTTGAACAGTGCTGGAAAAACATGTTTCAAAATTTGTACTAATTTCTAATACTTGGATAAACACCAGTTATTTTTACTTGAATATCACATATACAAAATATTTGCTTCATTTTCAATGCTAATTTTTCTATAATATGCCGAACTTTATATATGTAAACAGTAATTTACATTAGTAATGTAGTATCCAGAGGCAATAAACTTGCAATGTATCATTATACATATTGCAGAATGAGATAATAAGCTTTGACTATCCTAGCTGAAAGATTATAGAGGTTTTTTATAGTGGGAAAAAATATATAGAAATGCTACTAATAGAATAGAATACTTTTATTGGCCAAGTGTGATTGGACACACAAGGAATTTGTCTTGGTGTAAATACTCTCAGTGTACATAAAGAAAAGATACATTCGTTAAGAATCAAGAATCATAACGTACAACACTTAATGATAGTCATAGGGTACAATCAACAATCAAATCATACTAGGAAACAGTCAATATGAATCGTAAGGATACAAGCGACAAAGTTACAGTCCTACAATCACAAGTGGGAGGGGATGGGTGATAAGGAGTGATGAGAAGATTAACAATAATAGTAGTGAATACGTTGCAAATAGTTGAACAGTGTTGAGGGAATTATTTGTTTAGCAGAGTGATGGCTTTCGGGAAAAAACTGTTCTTGTGTCTAGTTGTTCTGGTGTGCAGTGCTCTATAGCGTTGTTTTGAGGGAAGGAGTTGAAACAGTTTGTGTCTGGGATGTGAGGGGTCTGTAAATATTTTCACAGCCCTCTTTTTGACTTGTGCAGTATACAGGTCCTCAATTGAAGGCAGGTGGGTAGTAATTGTTTTTTCTGCAGTCCTAATTATCCTCTGAAGTCTGTGTCTGTCCTGTTGGGTTGCAGAACCAAACCAGACAGTTATAGAGGTGCAGATGATAAACTCAATAATGTCTCTGTAGAACTGTATCAGCAGCTCCTTGGGCAGTTTGAGCTTTCTGAGTTGGCGCAGAAAGAACATTCTTTGTTGTGCTTTTTTGATAATGTGTTTGATGTTAGGTGTCCATTTTAAGTCTTGTGATATGATAGAACCTAGAAATTTGAAGGTCTCTACTGTTGATACTGTGTTGTCTAGTATTGTAAGAGGTGGTAGTATAGAAGGGTTTCTTCTAAAGTCTACCACCATTTCTACGGTTTTGAGTGTGTTCAGTTCCAGATTGTTCCAGTTACACCACGAGGCAAGTTGTATAACCTCCTGTCTGTATGCAGATTCATCGTTGTCTCAAATGAGACCAATCACTGTTGTGTCATCAGCAAACTTCAGTATTTTAACAGATGGATCGTTTGAGATGCAGTCATTGGTATATAGGGAGAAGAGAAGTGGAGATAGCACACAGCCTTGGGGGGGGGGGGGCTGTGCTGATTGTACAGGTATCGGATGTGATTCTGCCTAGCTTCACCTGCTGCTTCCTGTCTGTTAGGAAGCTTATGATCCACTTACAAGTGTGTTCAGGTACCACTGTTTGGTTTAATTTACATAGAAGAGTGTCTGGAATGATGGTATTGAAAACAAACATAGAAAACAAACATAGAAACACTGCTAAGACAACACCTTCAATTTTAATTTTAATATGAAAAGTGATGCTTGATCCTTTGTAGGACAAAAAGACAAGGCTCTTAGCACAAGAGTGTATGTTAGGGTTTAATAAAAGGTGTTTAATGAGAAGCTGGACAGCTATCTATGGATATACTGCAGCTGGATTTCTTGTATGAGCTGAATCAGGTTGTTTTAAAGTCTCTAGCATGTGGCTTATGAATTAACATAAGTATCCAATTTGTTTATGAGTATGATATAAGCTATTGCTTAAAGTTTGGGCCTAGGAAGCCCAAGAGAAGGCCACCTGCAAGATGTACACCCGTACTTCAGAACTTTTGGAGAGACTTATTCCATATGGTAGCTGGTTCTTCTTCTGGTCTTTGGAATTAATCTTTCTTTACGGTGGGGTTATGGTAAAATGGTGTTGAGCAATTGTAGGCAGGTTCCCAAGAAGCAGGGCTTAGCCATTTTTCAGGTTGCCCATGGAACAGGTCACTGTCATGGAGATGCTCTTGCTCTATCATCTGTCACCCAAATTAATTTTGTACATACAGTATGTATAGTGCCATTCTGGAAGAGTGCTACATTTGTCTCCAAACACATTTCACCTACCTGACAGATCACATATATGGTGGAGAGATTGTGAAGAGCATTGGGAAACTCAATCCTCTCTCACTCACTAGCTTTCTCTCTTCTGTGCCCTACTTTGGAATTAGGTGGCTATAGCAAAATTTAGTGAATGAATGAATAAATATTCCCAGGTAAAGGTTCACCTCGTGCTAGTCATTTCCAGCTTCTAAGGGGCAGTGCTCATCTCCATTACAAAGCCAAAGAACCAGTGCTGTCCGAAGATGTCTCCGTGGTCATGTGGCTGGCATGACTAAACGCTGAAGGCTCATGGAACGCTGCTACCTTCCCACCAAAGCGGTCCCTATTTTTCTGCTTGCATTTTTACATGCTTTCGAACTGCTAGGTTGGCAGGAGCTGGGACAAGTAACGGGAGCTCACTTCATTATGCAGCACTAGGGATTCGAATTGCTGAACTGCCAACCTTTCTGATCGACAAGCTCAGTGTCTTAACCACTGTGTCCCTTGAGCCCTTGATTCCCAGGTAAATAATTGCAGTTTTGAGCCAGCCTATGATAACTGTTTGTGAAAGTGAGGACACACCTATAATGGATTGAGATATGTGTTGATTAATTTTTAAAATATCATATTCTAAAAATGGGAAGGTGAAACAATCTGTTCTTCTGTAGTCTAGATTTAATAAGCTTGAGTTGAATAAGTTTTACATGGGTATCATATGTATCTTATGTTTCTTCTCTTATGCTATGTTTTGGTTTATTTTCATATATTACTGATATATTCACTCTTTATTATATTTCATTAATAAACTTCGTTAAAAAGTTAAAAACAAGAATCTTCATTTGATGACTCCCCCAAAGCCAAAGTTGTTCAGTTGGAAGAAAGTCCCATTTGTGATCACAAGAGTTGAGGGCATTCCTTAGAAGCCTTTCAGACCATGGCTTAATCCTTCACGAGCAAGATCCCCTTACAACTCTTTAACCCTAAGCAGAAATCTGCACGTACATTTACAGCTCTTAAAATAAATCCCTTTAAGACACAATCACCCGCAGTTGAAGCCCTACTGAGTTTAAATAAGTCCGTTTGTACAAAAAGACCGTCTTCATTTACGCATGCAGTTGAAAGCGGGAAGCAACGACACGCCGCGCAGGATATTAATGAATATAGTAACCGGCAGGGCGCATTCATTCAGCAGCTTCTCTTAATAATCCGTCTGAATGGCACTCCCTTCCACCAATCGCTCCAAGGAGAAAGTAGGCGGGTTGATGCATCAGCCGCTCCTGTGATGTAATGGCGCACGGCGGCAGATTTGAACTTCTACGGCGCAAGCGCGCTCGATTCGTTCGGGGAGTGTTTTTGGGGGTGAGCCGCTCTCCGGATATTCGCTGACTCCGACATCGGTTCCGAGGAAAGGTTTCGGCACCGCTGCCATGAAGCGCACCGTGCCACGAAGCACTCTGAAGAACCTGGTGAAGAAGCACAAGCCCCAGCTGCGTTTGCGCGGCAATACCGACTTACTGGTGAGTGGGAATGGGGAGGGAAGCTAGAAAGGAGGGAAGTGGCTGCTGTCTCCCCTACTCTTGTGGAGCGCCTTTGCACACCCCGTGTCCTGCTCTGCGACGACAGCGAGAGAGATAGGACGAATTTGGGAGGCGACCGTTCAGTGCCTTGCTTCCCATAGAGGTCCCCCTCGGTAGCTTTTAGGGAAGCTCCTTGGAAAACTGCTTCCTGCCATTCCCACCCACTCATTTAATGAAAGTGCCTTGCCTGAAACGTGAAAAATTCAATTCCCCCCACCCTCCTTGTGGGTGGTTCCTTTTATTTAAGCTTGGCGTGTAATGACAACATAATTCTATAAATCATCTTTCTGCATTATAGCGGTGGTAGCTTGGTAAGCAGTACTTAACCTGGGATTGCTTGTGTCATGTATGTACGATGGCAGAGGACTGAAGGAGAGCTGATCCTCTGCACCAATGTTTAAACACTTTAAAAATTGTCAAAAGCTTCTTTGACTGTTGTTTGTCTCCTCATGTACATGTATACATCCAAACTAGACTATATTGTTTCTCTCATATAATATATGTGGGTATATGCATAATTTTCTATGTATGTATGTATTTATATTGTCATGTTCATGTAGTTCATGTAGAGGTGGAGACGCTTTGAGAGCTGTATGCATGAAATTTCATTTTAATGTATGCCAATTAGTGTACATTCAAAATGACAAAATTATTCTAAGTTTAAGTCTAAGTTTAAAAAATGCAAATCTACTCCCCCCCCTTTTCTCTCAAGTCCTCTTGTGCCAATAAAGTTTGTTACAAGTTGTTGCTTTTGAACACAAAACTTAGATTTTTTTCCCCCTGTTCCGTTGACAAATCAGTTTACATGGAAAAACATGTTTTGATATTTCGGAATGAAATTTTTATAATTATTTTTTTTTCTGGGCCATGAATAATATAACCTATGAGATATTACCACAACACAGGAGAAAGGGTTAAGTTTGCATTATGACATAATTATTTTGGTGTTGATGTTTAGGAATGGACACTGACGTGTGCTATCTATTTTGTTTTTTGCACAGCTCTAGTGATTACAGTAACACTCACTCTTCCACAACCTTTGGATAATCCAACTAATTGCCATCTCTAAAGATCTGATAAATGTCTGACCACAAAAATGTAAACCATAGTCATTGCTCGAAGTGAGCAATAAATCACCTGCAATCCAAAAATCTTGAACATGTATATATAGTTGCAAACAGGTTAAAAGCTTGTGCAGGCTTCCAATAAGTCAGTGTGGAGTATAAGATTGATTAATACCAGATATCAACTAAAGTTATAGTAAGAAATATAGAACTTTAGAATATTAGGGTTTTTATATAAAAATAACATCCTTACTGGTAATTCACTTATAGTGTGAACATCTTACATATTCTCATAAGTAGATTCTATTGATTGCAGTGCTTTTATTTAAATAAAATGTTATTGCTGATTCAATACTGCACAATATTGGGCATGGTTATGATTTGTGAAACAGATCAGGATGAAGAGCTTTGGTGACAAAATAGAAGTCATTCTGATTGGTTGCAATCTGAAGAATCTGGTTTTTAAACAGCAGCAATTCGCCAGGTGTTTGGATTTTGCAGTAACAATGCATCAAAATTGTTCTCTAAAAGTCAGGACTATGTGCAGTACACAGGTAATCCTGGACTTACGACCACAATTTAGCCCAAAATTTTGGTTGCTAATCAAGTTAATCAGTTACGTGCTATTCAGTTAAGTGAGTTTTGCCCCACTTTCCAATCTTTCTTCTCACAGTTAAGTGAATCATTGTGATTGTTAAATTAGTAATATGGTTGCTAAGTGAATCTGGCTTCCCCATTGATTGTCAGAAGTTAAAAAATGATCACATGACTGTGGGACACTGCAACCATCATAAATACAGATCAGTTGCCAAGCATTCAAATTTTGATCATGTGTCCACGGGAATGCTGCAAGAAAAACAGATAACTTTTTTTCAATGGTATTGTAACTTCAAATGATCACTAAATGAACAGCTGTAAGTCAAGGACTACCTGTATGTATAGATTTCACTCTTTAAAAATATTTTTAATAAAATATCAGAGTTGGGAGGGACCTTGGAGGTCTTCTAGTTGAACCTCCTGCTCAAGCAAGAGATCTACATTATCTCAGACAAATGGTTGTCCAATCTCTTCTTAAAAACTTCCAGTGATGGATTACCCACAACTTCTGAAGGCAGGCTGTTCCAGTGATTAATTGTTCTAACTGTCAGGAAATTTCTCTTTATTTCTAGGTTGGTTCTGTCCTTGATTAGTTTCCATCCATTGCTTCTTGTTCTGTCTTTGGATGCTTTGGAGAATAGGTTGACCCCCTCTTCTTTGTGGCATCCAGTTAGTGTTGCTTGGCTAAATTAATACCTCCCAAAGTTCAGTACATGAATGGCAGTTATTCTGGAAAATTTGAAATTGGATGCCTCCATATCTCTACCTCTATACCTATATCTATTTCATATGTAGAGATATAAATATATGATGCTTATATATGAATGAAAACATTGTTATGCATATCAGTCTCTTTGAAACCTGGCTAAGAAAAGGAGATAGTTTATTAAATTTCTATGACTGTCTATCTTAAGTTATGGCTTTGGATGGCTGACAATTAAAAACCCAAATTAAATTACACAACAAATTTATAATTATAAATTAAAACATAGTAAAATTATAAATGACAAATAACACAACCAAGAATAACATCCCACAACAAAAACACTAATAATCATCATAGTTAACACAGGCTCGTCCTGTGTTATCATAAGAAACAGGCTCATCCATTCCATCAGGGCTCCAGGCTTCATGACAAAATATTTAAGGGTTGGGGCAAGACTGAGGGTATCTACTGGATTGGCTCTATTGGATCAGGATTATGGATAACTTATGTAAAATGCTGTTGTACATTGTTTACTTGAAAGAAAATGCTTCTTTATGACTGAAGTTATCCCATTTTTATCTATCTATCTATCTATCTATCTATCTATCTATCTATCTATCTATC